GTTTGGAAACTTCTCATTATCTTCTGTGCTTCAGAAAGTAAACGTCTGTGTTTTTTTCCTTGAACTTGGCAGAATTTGACTGCAAATTGTCTGGTGTGCTATTGGTGGCTGCTGTTTTAATTTTTTTTCCAGGAATATTTTGGCTATCAATATTTAACTCTTTCTAATTTTTCTATAACTATGGATTTTATCAGGTTTCCTGTTTCTTCCAAGTCAACTTGATATTTTATATTTTTCCACAGCATCATTAATATTATTGAAGTTTAGTATATGTTAGTATTTGCTTATAAAAACAGATAAATGAAAGTTCTTCTATAGCTGTGAAATGTTCTCTTTCTTGTTAATGCTTTTTAGGAAGGTTCCTTTTCTTAATGTTATTCTTATGATCAGACTTACTTGCTAACTCTACGAGTCCCTTCAAAGAACCAGTTTCTGAGTTTATTTATTTTTAACATTTTTAGTCATTAAGTTCTGTTTTTAATATTTCTTTTTCTTTCTACCTAATTTTGAATTTATCTTGTTCACATACTAGCATTTTGAATGAAAGCTTAAATCATTTATTATTAGGCGAGGACTCTTGATTTTTGTACTGGTCCCCTCCCGTTTGGTGTTAACTCCGTTTTTACTTTTACCTTTCACCCTTCAAATTAGGCATGATTGCTGCTGTGGGTACTGTCAATCACTTCTAGATCAATAAGTATTACAGGTAGTTACTGATTCATCACTTCCATCACTCTTTGCGCCTGTTCGCATCACCATCACGGACCCTCTTCTTTGAATCACTCTCCTTCTCCGCGAAGCACATTCATTAGATTTCTTCCTTCAAAGATGTATATTCTGTCTTTGTCATATGTGAAGGTGCCTTTATTGTGCCCTTATGCTTGAATTTTTGGTTTCATTGGGTTTCTCTCTTGCATTTATTTGAAAAGGTTTAATTATTTTTCCTTAGCATTAAAAAAAAAAGATTTTTGTAGCTAGAAGTTGTGTGATCTTCGCTCTGTCATATTTCTAAAAGATAGATGAAGATTAAAAACAAAAATTAATTTTAATTTTTAGCTTCATGAACTAGTTTGGGGTTTTTTTGTATCCTTGTGCCCCTCACTCCCCGCCCCTCACCCCATTTGACCTGTTGATTGTGAGATGTGCTGAAACCTCCCATTGTAATTCCTAGTAGGGTTTCTTTTTTGTTGTTTTATTTCTCTCTTTTTAAAAAAAAAATTTTTTAAATCACTTTATTAGGGGCTCATACAACTTTTATCACAATCCATACACACATCAATTGTGTAAAGTGCATTTGTACATTCATTGCCTTTATCATTCTCAAAACATTTTCTCTCCACTTAAATCCCCAGCATTAGGTCCTCATTTTTCCTATGAGTTTTTGCATCCTATATAAATATATAGGATCCCATGCAGTAAGCATGGCCTGATAACCAAAATGCCGGCGGTTCAAACTCATCAGCCACTGCGAGGGAGAAAACTGAGACCATCTGGTTCCCTAGAGATTTACAGCTTCAGAAACCCTATGAAGTGGTTTCTCCTGTCTTAGAGGGTGGCTGTGAGCTGAGAGGAACTCAGTGGCAGGATTTTGTTCC